ATCCCAATTATATTATTTTTGAATTTGCTTTGAGAAGAAGTAATGATTGTAATCTCTGTCGATATAATGTTTAATACAATTATTTCATTATAATTAGTATAAGTGATGACATGTTTGTCGTCTTTGGTAATAAGGATTGTGTGCATAATTCCTCTGATGAATGGATCGATGTCTAGCGAGACCTCACCGGTAGACAAGTCCCACATTATAAACCGGTTTGAAACTGATATCACGTATCGAGAATCGGAAGTGAGTGTGAAATCAAAAACTGCGAACTGATGTCCTTCTAGTGAATACATGAGAGGTCCGCCCGGAGTGTGAAGACAATGGTTGACGGGAAGGAGTGCGCAATGAAGGGCTCCTTTGCTGTCGCATTGTTGCAATAGGTTTCGTATGTGAAGACATTCGTCGCTCACACATAAAAGTCTGGCCAGAATTTGCGGACCAATCATATTAGGAAACTGTACGATAACGGGCGCCGAGAGCTTTAGTGTGTCGGCCAATAGTGATATTTCTTTGACCACACTTTGATGGCCGCCTTCTTTGCTTAGAAAGTGTATGGAGTCCTCGAAATCGGCTAAAATTGATTGCAATGGAAAGCAACTGAGCTTTGAGTGCAACCAATTGTAATCAAACAATACTGTCTTCAATAAGTCGTTGAATCTCTTTGCTCTAATCAAATGATAGGGAAGTTCTGCCAATTTTCGCAGATTATATCTCGTAATCCTTCCGTCAATGGAAAAGTAGGCCAACGGCTGTGTCGGCACTTTTCGGTCAGCTTTGGATTCTTCTTCTATTAGTTTAAATCTTTGTTTTTGAGATTCTGTGTATTTGAAAGGCTTGTCGACACCCCCTCCCCAAACACCCATATAATAGTCGGCGATCGATGAGTGAAAGTAATGAGTATTTGTGTCGCTTATGAAGTATCGCTGAATGGATGCGTCCCTAAACTGTTTGTGATACCAATTCATGGCATTCACTCCATTGGCGTCCCTTTCGGTCAAATAATTTGGTAAATCATTGCGTATTCGTGTCCACAAAAGTGGAGGAATTCTTCTGACTGGAGGCAAATGGTATTGAAAGACATCGTCTAATACTATGTCATCCAATGATAGCATGTCCTCCAATTCGCTTTCACTCAACCCATTCTGGAGGTCATAAGAAATGATTTGAACAAATCTATTGAATATTTTCATTAAATTTATTTCTATAGTAAACAACTAATAATAAAATTTTATTCTTATTTTTAATGCTTTTGTTGGATAGCATCAAAAGGGGATTCTCTATAAGTTTGCTATAAAAGCAAAACAATGTTTAACTTAATTGCAGGCAATGCTATACCTTATTACTCTATTCGCAGCTCTAATAAGCTATTTATCGATTTGTCACAAATTTGATTGAGAAGAGGAAGTAAAGGGTTTATAAGTCTATATCGTGTGTCGACACATGTGGTCATCCCCTGCCCTCCCCTGCACTCCCATCCCTGTCTGACAAATGATAAATTTATTGTTTGTCATACTTTGGATGCAGTGATATATGAGAGCGCGTGTGAGACTAATGTCTTTCCGTGTTGGACTTCGATTCGGTCAAAGAGTCGGAAAATGCTGTCCATTACTGTATTGGAGAGCAATGTTTGGTTGGCTTTTGAATAGGATTTCCAGCGAATAATTTCTGCGAAAACTAATTTTGCAAATATTGGAAGCGAACAGTCATTGATCGCTATCCCAACGGTTTGCCATTGTTTTGCTGTGATATCGCGTCTTATCAATTGTAGCCATCGTTTGATGACATCGATTCCCAGTTGAGCGCCGAGTTCTTCAACTTCAACAAACTTGTCCTTCTGTTCAATCATTTTGTGCAATGTTTCAAAGTCTTTGGATCGGTCTTCGGATGAGCACGAGATGACAACTTTCAAGTTATCGGGAAATTGTTGGCTAAGAAATGACAATTTTATACTCGACTCCATATTTTCTGACAACTGATCGATAGAATCGATAAAAATGAAAACTAATTGTTCTCTAGTTTTGAGAAGAAGTTGTTTGAAATGAAAGGTAAGGCCAATGAGATCGTCGGGCACGTCGTCGAGAGGGAGCATAAAGTTATATGAGATTTGTTGGCAAATACTCGTTAAAAAGGGAATCACAGACGAGCTGTCGGGTGTGGTCCCTATGAATCGCAAAATTAAAATGAATTTATTATCCCTATCGACCCATTCCTCTAAAAGAGTGGCCGCTTTGGCTAACAGTGATGTTTTGCCCGATCCGTGCAGACCATGAAGAACTAGCGGTGAGTTTGAATTACTTTTGATATAGTTTTCAATTGTGTGTAACTGTTTATGTCTGCCTTCAAACACTTGGACACTATGATTGCATGAATGTAAATGATGCAGAATCTCATTAAATAGACTCCCAAATGGACTCCTATCCTCCCTTCTCATCGCTTTTCGCACTAATTTTGTTATATTATTGTAAAAATGTTCGCAAAACTCTTTGAGATATTCAAAATGTTGTTCAATATCGAGGCCTTGTTTTGGATTCCAATCCACTGTAAATCTAATTGAAAAATTGTTTGCATAAAAAATTTAAGGTTTCATATATTAAATACTTGACTAAATTGGGCGCAAATATCTTAGCGATAAGTCGGGTGTCTCTCAAGTGGTTGAGCAGAGTCTGAGCCTCTCTGTCGATGTCTCCCTTAGCCGTCAAATCAATAAACTTTTCGACCACTCGAGTGTTTGTGGCATCGATTTTATTGATTTGTCGGAAATATGCCAAACAGTGACGCTTGACATTCAAAACATTTAATATTCCGTTTGTTATTTCGCGTTCAGTAACTGATTGATGAGAATTGATGTCAATTTAGTATTCATTTGACTCGTAAGACACTAATGGAGACAATACCTGACATAAAATAATTATGTTTGGCGTCGGCACTCATTTTGTAACTTTCGCACAAACTATTGGCTGCCATTCGTAGCAATTTCTGTAGTTTATATAATGTTTGCCACCAAATGGTCTGATCTCTTGCCTGAAGTTCGGGTTCTGACTATAAAATCCAATTTATTGCTTAAACATTTCAAAAATGTGTTTGAAATTCAAACTTTGAATATTAAAGTCAATGTAACGCTCACTCGATTAGAAAAGTTAACTAATATAGAGCTAATGGGTTGGAGTATGAAGACAGAAGGGACCGCATTGTTGTCCTCTTTATACCACACGTCCAACAATTCTGCTTCACTTATATTCAACTCATCCAAAGAATACCTCAATAATCGAAGTTCTTGTCCATCAATAAGTGTAGGAATGGGACGATAGCCGTACCTAACAGTAAGTGATATGCTTTTATTCTCAATGACTTTACAATTTGGATCGACATTTACTTTTGTCCGAGAAATACGACAAAGTTTGGTCCCATTGAAAGTCTTTGACAATTTTCTATTTCCTTCATACAAAGTTCGTTTGTCATGTGATCGTCTTTTACAGTTAAACCATTCATATTATTTTATTAATAATAATTGTGTTTTGAATAAATTAAAATTTTAATTTTATTATTTGCTTAATTAGTGTTAAATTATAAAATATCATTTTTATAGTTGTTACATACAGTACAGTATTACACAGAATAATGAATGTAACTTTACTAACCCGTGGCCTCATCGCGAACACCCCATCGCATGTCCACCACTCATTGTTTTTATCATTTTCAGCAAATAGTTTATACAAATTTGGATGGAAACATATATTTTTAAATGATTTCATTTATTGTGTTAATTAATAATAATTGTTATGTAAGTTTTTTTTTTGCAATTTTTAGTGCATTAAAATATTAATTTCCACGTTTTGTTGAAATAAATACTTAATTTTTATTATATTTTATATTGATTTCTATGTAAAACAGCTTTTGTTGATAGAGATTCAAATAAAGTTTGATTTGATTTGATTTGATAAATTATATATGAAAATAGCGTTTAATGTTCAATAATGTCTGTAAAATTGAGGTAAAACTAAATTATATATACTGTAAATTACAATCTTCGAGGAACTGAATTTGTAATAACTTAGTACTTGCTATGGATTATGATTGGGCTAGATACTGTCTAGATCTGCGTTTACTATGTAAACTTGTGTGAGTTTGCATAGTATCATAGGTTTTGAGCTCAATCATACTATTGATGTATAATATTTATTTTATAAGCTTATAATTTGCTCATTTATAGCATTGATTAATATACTAACTTGTAAGAACTATATTACATGACTGTATTTAATATTTTATATTACAGTAGACAGCATTTCTATAAATATATATGATATAAATTAATTATAAATGCCTTTTATTGAAAATATCTCTAATTAAGAAAATGATATTTTTATTCTATTAAAAAGTTATTAATCTATAAATGATATCATTCTTCCGCATGACATGAATATTAGATAAGTTATAAAATATACGACAGAGAAATGAATGACATTTAAAATACCTTGAAATTCAAGACCGTGTCGTTGTTTGCAGTACTCTT